GTTGGTTAAGCGGCCGACTTCGGCTCAGGTCATGATCTCTCGGTCTGTGAGTTCGAGCCCCGCGTTGGGCTCTGTGCTGACAGCTCAGAACCTGGAGCCTGTTTCGGATTCTGTGTCTCCCTCTCTCTGACCCTCCCCCGTTCATGCTCTCTCTCTGTCTCAAAAATAAATAAACGTTAAAAAAAAATTTTAAAAATAATAAAAATTCTCTTTATCCTTACTTTTTGCCATGGTAAGTACTACATGTCTTGGTGTGGGCGTTGCTGGGTTCATCTTTTTTGGGGCTCCCTGTCCTTCCTAGACCTTGATGTCTGTTTCATTCCCCAGGTTAGGGAACTTTTCATTCATAATTTCTCCAAATAAGCTTTCTACCTCTGTGTTTCCTTTGGGACCTCTATAATGCAAATGTCTGTACAACTGATGCTGTCTCAGAGCTGTCCTCGTATCTTCTTTTTTTTTTTTTTAGTTTTTTAAAAAAAGTTTATTTAAGGGGCGCCTGGATGGCTCAATTGGTTGAGCAGCCGACTTCAACTCAGGTCATGATCTCACAGTTCATGAATTCAAGCCCCATATCGGGCTCTGTGCTTAGAGCTCGTAGCCTAGAGCTTGCTTTGGATTCTGTGTGTGTCTCTCTCTCTGCCCCTCTCCTGCTTGTGCCGTCTCTCTCTCTCAAAAATAAACATTAAAAATAAATAAAATTAAAAGGTTTGATGGCCAAGGCATCCATTTCAAAGAGGCATCCACTGCAAAGATGGCTACCAGAGTAAACATATTACCAGCTATATGACTGAAGAGCCAGGCCACCTCTTCTGACTGAAGCCCCTTTATTTTAGAAACACGGTTGATTTCTCCATACTTCAAAATTCCTACTCTTCTGTCTGAAATCCACCAATAAAGAATAAGCCTGTGAAACACAGGCCCCCACCCTCAAGTCTGATAAAAGGAGAATGCCAGGCCATTGCATTTTCTCTCTTCTACCTGAGACCTTGCTGTGTGGCCTCAGGTGAGCTGTATAATTTCTAGGTCTTCTTTCTTGATGGTTATTGCTGAAGGGTGCCTTGCAACCCCAAGGGCCAGTCCAACTAGAATATTGGTTATTGAAAGGCTGAGACCAGCACAAAACAACTGGCATAGCCAGCAGGACTGCAGTATTGCCCTTGCAATTAACCGAGGAATATCCTTTACCTTCAGCTTGCTTACTAACCACCTCACTCAGGAGGGTAACAGCATCTGGGAGTAGAGTACCACTTGCCAGAGGTCTGCTGCCCTGCTATGTGATTTTGCATCCTGCTTCGCCACTGTCCTGCCAGCGGGTTCTGGCCCAAAGGTTGCAGTCATCCAACAATCTCCCCAGGGCAGGTGTTCAAGGCCATATGATTTAAAGGAACTACCAGACCGTAAGGGCCTTCATGGACTAATACTGTGCATAAGGGTCCTCCCTCCACACCTTAAGGCCAAAGAGAGTTAAGAAGGGTGAACTGGACTACAAGGCTACTGTCCCTGCCCAAGGAGAAGCTCTGAGCTAAAGGCACAAGGAAAGGATTCCTGTAGGTGAGGAGAATGGTACACCTCCATCTGTGACCACAGAACCAGTGGGTCATGCCAGGAGTGTGTATCCTAACACAGAAGAGTGAAATAGCCTTGTAACAGGAAACCAATGGCACCACCAGAAAGAAAATACAACAGGCATATGGTTTCTGTGTCACCACTTCACTCTTTGTCTTCTGACCTGTTCCAACTCTGAAAAGGCCTCATTCAAAACTGAGTCTGGACAAGGACAGACTGGTTTTCTAAAAATGTTTACTTATTTATTTGAGAGACGGAAGGAGACAGAGAATCCCAAGCAGGCTCCGCACTGTCAGCCCAGAGCCTGATGCGGGGCTCAAGACTCATGAACTGTGAGATCATGACCTGAGCTGAAATCAAGAGTCAAACACTCAACTGACTGAGCTACCCAGGTGCCCCTGGAGAATTACTTTTTATGGGCCTAATTACAGGTGTTGCACTACTATACTTTATTTGGAGCACTAAACCAACAATCAAGAGGGACTAAAACTCCTAGAAGAAAACTTATATTTTCTATCCTTGCCCCTTAACGATGTAAATCTTACCATGCCTTTGAAATGTAAACACCACAGGAGGTAACAGGGTCTCTGTGTCTGTGTGTTTATGTATGTCTATGGATATATAGGTTTGTTTTTTTTTTTCCTTTCTCTACCACTTGATAGAATAGCCAAAATTAATTTGTAAAAGAGCTCTATTTAATTAGTTTAAAATTAAGTGCTTATAGGGCGCCTGGGTGGCTCAGTTGGTTAAGTGTCTGACTTCGGCTCAGGTCATGATCTCACAGTCCGTGAGTTTGAGCCCTGTGTCGGGCTCTGTGCTGACAGCCCAGAGCCTGGAGCCTGCTTCAGATTCTGTGGCTCCCTCTCTCTCTGCCCCTCCCCTGCTCATGCTCTGTCTCTCTCAAAAATAAACAAAAACATTAAAAAAAAAAAAAAACTATTAAAATTAAGTGCTTATGAAGTATTCCTAAAACTCAAGAAATTTAGTTTCTATAGGTCATTTCAGTTCACATGACATGGGGTTATTTTGGTAAATAAAACCTAGTTTACATTTGGCTTAATTAAAGCAGGCATGTCTTCAGAGTTATTAGCATTAAATATAATGTAGATAAATAACTTGTATTCTATCTGGGTTTAATAGTCAAATAAATTCATGCTATCTCTAAAGTGGGGAATCTAAACATAATTGTTGGGAACAAATGATTTAGATAGATGTAAATGGGATAAAAGTTAAGGCGAATTTTTCAGCAATAATTACGTGTTATGGTATGTCTATTTAAAAATAGTTTCCCAGGCCTGGCACCTGGGTGGCTCAGTTGGTTAAGTGTCTCACTTCGGCTCAGGTCATGATCTCATGGTTTGTGAGTTCGAGCCCCACATCAAGGTCTGCGCTCTCAGCACAGAGTCTGCTTCGGATCCTCTGTCTCCCTCTCTCTTTGTCCCTCCCTTGCTCGTGCTCTCTCTCTCAAAAATAAATATTAAAAAAAAAAAAAAGCTTTCCAAATCTCTTTGGTAGCTTGAACTTTAAGAGTTTTGCTAAGTTATGGGTGCCTGGTTGGCTCAATTGGTAGAGCATGTGACTCCTGATCTTGGGGTTGTGAGCTGAAGCACTAGGGTGGGGGTAGAGTTTACTTAAAACAAAAAACAAACAACTTCTGCTTAAGTTAAAATAAATGATGGGAAATTCATTAAATGTCTAGATCATCAAGATCATTTCCAAATAAGATAAAATACTGAAACATTAATTATTGAACACCAGCTTATCTACTTTTGGTTTTTCTTTCTTTCTTTCTTTTTTTTAATGTTTTGTTTTTGAGAGAGAGAGAGGGCAAACACCAGTGGGAGAGGGGCAGAGAGAGAGAGAGAGGGTGACATAGAATCTGAAGCAGGCTCTAGGCTCTGAGCTGTCAGCACAGACCCTGACCTGGGGTTCAAACTCATGAACTGCGAGATCATGACCCAAGCTGAAGTTGGACGCTCAACTGACTGAGCCACCCAGGTGCCCCTACTTTTGGTTTCTTATTACAGAGAAAGAAGATATTTGGGGCTATTAGTAAACCTGTCTGTGCCACACTGAAAAACTGTGCTATTACACAGTGTTTTGAGGAAGTATAAGGTTAACTCATAAATTTACCAATCTAAAGAATGCTGGTATACCACAATTTACAACTGCTTACTACTTCAAGTTTCTATAGGTGTATTAATTAGAATTTTTAACCCATAGAAACCTAATTAAAATTACTAGAAATAATAAAGCAAGGTATACAAGGAAGGTAGAATATGTCTTTGTGTATGAAAGGTATTAGGTATGACAATGCATGTTTGTTAAGGGAAATGAAAATAATTTTGTTTTAAGAAAAAAGAGGGGAGCACCTGGATGGCTCAGTTGGTTGAGCATCTGACTTTGGCTCAGGTCATGATCTCGTGGTTGGTGGGTTCGAGCCCCACATCAGGCTCTGTGCTGACAGCTCAGAGCCTGGAACCTGCTTTGGATTCTGTGTCTCTCTCTGTCCCTCTCTCTCTCTCAAAATAAGTAAATAAACATTTTTGAAAAAATAGAAAATCTGAATGTAAAAAAGATAGTTGTAGAAGGTTTGTGAAAAAGGAATCTTGGGAAAAGAATTTTACGTGTGGTCAAACTGGCTAAGATTGGAGTGGATGTAATTAAAATTGTAAAAAGAATTTTAATATTAAAAAGTACACTGCTACAAAGTTAGAATTTGGCTTTCATGGATTACTGGTGTGCTCTTGATTAGAGATCACCGAAGTTTTTTGTGCTTTTAGTTTTAAATTTACCTTTTGAGGGGCGCTTGGGTGGCGCAGTCGGTTAAGCGTCCGACTTCAGCCAGGTCACGATCTCGCGGTCCGGGAGTTCGAGCCCCGCGTCGGGCTCTGGGCTGATGGCTCAGAGCCTGGAGCCTGTTTCCGATTCTGTGTGTCTCCCTCTCTCTCTGCCCCTCCCCCGTTCATGCTCTGTCTCTCTGTCCCAAAAATAAACGTTGAAAAAAAAAATTAAAAAAAAAAATTTACCTTTTGAAAAAGCATAATTCTATGTTACAAAATAACTTATTGTGCTTCATGTTATCTTTGTCCTTAGGCCTTTGCTTAAGTAAGCCTAGTCTTCTCAAGAGCTGAGTTTTGCTCATAAGTAACTTTCTATATTTGGCTCTAAAATCTTTTATTGTCATTTTGGTTAAATGGATAATTAAGTATTGCTTCATAGTGAATTACCTTATTTGACCAACTGTTTTAAAACCTTGTTTTTAAGATTTTATTTTTAATCTCTACACCCAATGTAGGGCTAGAACTCACAACCCTGAATCAAGAGTCATATGCTCTAATAATTGAGCCAGCCAGGCATCCCAAAACCTTTTGATATTTTTGACAAACTTTCCAAAATTCAAATTCTAAGTGAAGTCTTAATGTTGAACTCACCTGGCATTTTTCCAGAGGGCTCCTGGAATACCCCAAAAGATTTGTTCTGTTTCCTTATAAGAGAGAGATTAAACTAATTAGGTTAAATGGTATGTTAACCATATCAAATACATAATAAACCTTCTTAGGTTATACTGTGGGTAAATGTAATTAATACAAGTTATAACAAATACATTATTAATATAAGAAATTGTAAGAAATTCTTAAAAACCTGACATAAACTTGTATGCTATCACTTATAATTCTAGTTATTATCTTAAAATGTGTCACAGAAATAACCAAATTTCCTGATAAATTTAATCAACTTTCATCTGACCTTAAAAATGGCAATGGTTAAAGTCTTCTTTCATTTATACATAGTTACTGTTTTACTGCACTGCTTTGCAAGTGTCTATAAAAGTGGTCATTTTCAAGGAGATTCATGAAAAGGAATTTTTGACAAGTACAGATTTCTAATAACTGTAAGATCCTAAAACTGAACTGGGTAAAAATTTATAGAATTAATGGAAAAAGTGGATTCAAGCCAAACAATAAAAACATCTGACTCTTGATTTCAGCTCAGGTCATGATCTCATGGCTTGTGGATTCGAGCCCTACACAGAGCTCTGTGCTGACAGTGTGGAGCCTGCTTGGGATGTTCTCTCTCCCTCTCTCTCTGCCCTCCCCTGCTCTCTCAAAAGTTCCATCAAAGCAGACTTAAAGGAGCCTATATGGTCAATCAGTATTCTTGCTGCACTTAAATAACCAAGCCAAATTTAATGAGACAAAACTTATTTCACAAATAAATTAGTGTTGTTTTAATTATCTGATACAAATGGGGTAACTGTTTATAGAGAAAAAATTGCATTTCAGTAATATACCTCTGTGGGTATCAAATTCTAGTGTTGTTAATTGTCTTTCAGGCTTTGTTTCCTGTCTGTAAACTAGATTGGATACTAAATTCTTTTTTGTTTCCTCCAGAATCTGGCTACAACTCTCCAAACGAACATTTCCAACTTTTCCCCCTACCCTTATAACTTGGAATCATTGAGAAATAAAACTGCCCTTGGCACAAAGCCACATCAGCTAAGGTGAGATAACCTGATAAAAAAGAGAAATCACCACAGCCGCTGGACCATCTTCATACCTGCTGCCAGGTGGGCCACTCCGATCACCAGAGACCCTCAAATTGCAAACAAGTAAAATCCATCAGCTTAAATACTGCCCGCCCTCAGTGCATCTGAACATGCGTCAAGTCTGGCATCTAGAAATCTTGACTGGCTACCTTCAGCACTCAAAAACTGGGATTACAATCTACTCCAACCATTAACCTTTTTTATTTTCTTTTGTTTCCACAGAAATGTTTCTTATTAAATACCCAACTGCTTGTACCATATAGGCCTAACTTGGGTAACCCACCTGTATCACTACCTCCTGAAATAAGACACAAATCTTTAACTGACCTAACCTATTCTCAGGACGAAGAGACTGGTTCAATGAGATATGGAGCATCTATCAACTCAGGACAGGTTTAAACCTACTTATACCATATGGCCTCGAACAATTTAAATAGAACTATCATTCCATTTGTAACTAAGTGGATGGAACTAGAGGGTATTATGCTAAGTGAAATTAGAGAAAGACAAATATCATATGACTTCACACATATGAGGACTTTAAGACACAGAACAGATGAACATAAGGGAAGGGAAGCAAAAAGAATATAAAAACAGGAAGAGGGACAAACCATAAGAGACTCTTAGATATCGAGAACAAACTGAGGGTTACTGGAGGGGTTGTGGGAGGGGAATGGGCTAAATGGGTAAGGGGCATTAAGGAATCTACTCCTGAAATCATTATTGTACCATATGCTAACTAACTTGGATGTAAAGTAAATAATAAAGGAAACTACAAAAACTCTTAAATGTATACCATGATTAATTTTCATAAAGTGAACAGACTTGTGTGATGATTCTACATGTTGATAGATAGATAGATAGAAAGAAAGAACGAACGATCGAACGATCATTGGGGCAACTGGGTGGCTCAGTGGGTTGAGCAGCTGACTTCAACTCAGGTCATGATCTCGTGGTTTGTGATTTCGAGCCCCATGTTGGGTTCACCGCTGCCAGTGTAGAGCCCGCTCCAGATTCTCTGTCCCCTTCTCTCTCTCTCTCTCTCTCTCTCTCTCTCAGCCCCTCCCGTGCTTGTATTCTCTCTCTCAAAAATAAACATTAAAAAAAAAAAAAAAGAATTCTCATATGACCCAACAATTCAACTTCTGGGAATTTATCCAAATAAATCAAAAACACTAACTGATAAAGATACATGCACCCTCAAGTTCATTGCAGCATTATTGACAACAGCCAAGATATGGGGACAACTTAAGTATTCACTAACAGATGAAGAAATAAGGACAATGTGGTATATATACACAATGGAATACTATTCACTCATAAAAAGAAAGAAATCTTGCCATTTACAATATGAATGGTCTTTGAGGTTTTCTGCTAAGTGAAATAAGTAAAAAAAACACAAATATCATCTCACTGGTATGTGGAATCAAAAAAACCGAAACAAAAAACCACAACAAAGTTCAAACATCCAGAGAACAGATCGGTGGTTGCCAGAGGAGGGGGTGGGGGTTGAGTGAAATGGGTGAAAGGGTCAAAAGGTATAAACTTCTAGTTATAAAATGTCATGGGAATGGACTATACAGCATGGTGATGATAGTTAATAATACTGTATTTTATATTTCTTTTTTTTAAGTTTATTTACTTTTGAGAGAGTGAGTGGGAGAGAGGTAGAGAGAGAGAGAATCCCAAGCGGGCTCTGTGCCGTCAGCGCAGAGTCTGATGCGGGGCTTGAACCCACAAACTGTGAGACCATGACCCAAGCCGAAATGAAGAGTCAGATGCTTAACTGAGCCACCCTGGCGCCTCTGTACTTTATATTTCAAAGTTGCTAAGAGTAAATCTTAAAAGTTCTCATCACGGGGCGCCTGGGTGGCTCAGTCGGTTAAGCGGCCAACTTTGGCTCAGGTCATGATCTCGTTCGTGGTCTGTGAGTTCGAGCCCCGCATCGGGCTCTGTGCTGACAGCTCAGAGCCTGGAGCCTGTTTCAGATTCTGTGTCTCCCTCTCTCTGACCCTCCCCCGTTCATGCTCTCTGTCTCAAAAATAAAAATAAACGTTAAAAAAATTTTTTTTAAACTTAATCTTAAAAAAAAAAGTTCTCATCACAAAAAAAAAACCCACAACTTTGTAGCTATATATGGTGATAGATTTTAACTAAACTTAGTGTGTTAGTCATTTCAAAATATATACAAATATTGGATCATTATGTCGTATCTATACCTCGTAAGAAGCCTCTTGTTACATTTCCAAACATACTGAACTTCTCATTGATGAGGGATGTTCTTCACACTCACCCTGAGGAATACCTCTCTCCATTGTCCTCAACTCTTCTTGTTCCAACCATGAGATAAAAGTGTGTTTAAAGAGTTGATAACCTATTCATGGAGAAAGAGATCTTAATAGAAGAGAGACTCATGCAAGAGATAACCAACCTTCCTATGAATTAGGTGTTTTTTTTTTTTTAATTTTTTTTTCAACGTTTTTTATTTATTCTGGGACAGAGAGAGACAGAGCATGAACAGGGGAGGGGCAGAGAGAGAGGGAGACACAGAATCGGAAACAGGCTCCAGGTTCCGAGCCATCAGCCCAGAGCCCGACGCGGGGCTCGAACTCACGGACCGCGAGATCGTGACCTGGCTGAAGTCGGACGCTTAACCGACTGCGCCACCCAGGCGCCCCTGAATTAGGTGTTTTATTACCCATGACAGCAATAAAATTATTTCAAATGAGATACAAATGCAAATACAGGGGCACCTGGCTGGCTCAGTTGGAAGAATGTGTTAACTCTTGAGATCCGGATCATAGGTCCGAGCCCCACGTTGGGTGTAAAGATTACTTTTTTTTTTTTTTTCCAACGTTTATTTATTTTTGGGACAGAGAGAGACAGAGCATGAACGGGGGAGGGGCAGAGAGAGAGGGAGACACAGAATCGGAAACAGGCTCCAGGCTCCGAGCCATCAGCCCAGAGCCCGACGCGGGGCTCGAACTCACGGACCGCGAGATCGCGACCTGGCTGAAGTCGGACGCTTAACCGACTGCGCCACCCAGGCGCCCCTGTAAAGATTACTTAAATAAATAAACTTAAAACAATTTTAATTAAAAAAATGCAAATATACTCTGTACCCTGAAAAGACTGGTTCCCTCTGAGCCTGGAAACCCACATTCAGGCTTATACACACATTTACAATGCACTAACACTTTTATTGAGATAGGAAATAGAGTAAGGGCAACAAAGAGATTTTCACTTTCATAGAGAAACCATTAACCAGTGGTTCCCAAATTTTAGTGTGCATCAGAATCACGTGGACTATTTGTTAAAAACAGATGACTGGGTCCCACTTGCCACCACTGTAACAGATGCCAGTGGAATGTGAGAATGTCTATTTCTAACAGAGACGGTGATGCCGTCTGCCCAAAGACCACATTTTGACAGCACTCACACTGGATTAGAACACATCAGTGAAGCAACTGTGTGTCACTTGTGTTCAGATCTGATATCACCCATCCTGCAACACAATGAGGAAATAATATATATCTGTTCAACAGCAGGCTATAGGAATAATGGCAGCCTTACCCACCATACTCAAGTTCTGGGAGTTCTCCATCCAGTACTGCATCTCTGCGTAAGGTTCTCTAAGAGGGGTCCAGAAGAGTCCATTCCTCCAAGGTGAAGTCCACAGGCACATCACCAAAGGTCACTGAATCCTAAATAACCGCACATGTAATGGCTTGGATCAAGGAACATCATCAATGTTCACTGGAACAAGGATGAAAGAAACAGTAATACAGAGTTTCAAGGTCTCTCATACTCCAAGGTCAATGGTTCTAAATATTTTAAATACCTATACTCACTCCAGTCACGTGGCTTCAATGGAAACTCTTAAACATGACCTTGTCTCACCACCCCTGGACTCGGAGCTCTTTTCTTATTTCCCTCTAATGCAGCACATGCCCGAACACACTGTAGACACCTGATAAATGGTCGTGAATGGATCAATTCTTTGAGAAAAGCACACCTCCATCTTCCATATCATCTGTGAGAGCACATGATAGATAAAAAAGGTCACCATCATGAGAGTCAAGTTTAATTAGTACTTACTGAAACGCTCAAATTATTTTCAGAGTATTCCCGTACCACCAATATGAAAGGTTCTATTCTGTGGGGAAATTCAATAGACACTCAGTCTTTGAGTGACTTTAAGAAGCTCTGGCGATCGGTCCACCTGGGAGGAAATGTGTCCATCTGGTGAATACAGATATGTCCTTTTGTACAAGGACATACTTTTTGCCTAGCCAAGAACAATCTTCAGCCAGTCAGCCACCATCCTTCCTACTTTTATCTTTTCCTCAGGAAGGCAGAAAGAAAACATAGAAGAAAACAAAGAAGCCACGTATACCCAGAGAGGACCATAATTCTCGCATTTACCTGCCTAGAAGTCTTTCTATTCTAGTGTGAAATTCCCAAAACTCTCAAGAAATCTCCCGCAAACACAGACTACTGCTATAGGATGCCAGTGTGGTCTCGTCTCACCTAGAACTGAAAAGGGGATAGTGATCATGCTGCCCGTGAGGAAAAGAGTAAGTCAATTTGACAGGGAAGGAAATTTAAGCCCCGAGAAATGGGACTCATTTTCTGCCCAAAGCAATATAGTAAAAAAGTTATGTAGTACCTCTTCCCAATGTACACATATCAGTAAGACGACTTAGAAAACACAGTCGTTGGCCCATTTTGACTCCTCCTTAAAGGGCCAGCAGCATAACTGCTCAGGCCCAGACCACTGTGCAAGGGTGATCTAAAGCTGAGTCTATTAAAAACAAGGGGTATCAACAGGACTTACCAGAGGACAAATCAATGGCTGCCATCCTGTAAGGGTGACAGAATAACTTACCCAACATTCCTTTCTCTGACACCAAGACCATTTCAGGGTATCTTATGAATACAAGTACAGACAGCCATCCCCATGGACACCGGGTAATCTGGAGTTGTGTTTTGTATTTACCATTAATCAGTAAATGTTATCAGTCATCAATCGTCATACGTTGGCTCTGTGTAGATGATATATGAGAAACACACTAAAAATGGTATGCCCTATAGCAGTATCAGTAACATCAACTGAGAGAGAGAGAAAGAGAGAGCAAGCGTGAGCAGGGGAGGGGCAGAGAGAGAGGGAGTGAGAGAGTACCAAGCAGGCTCTTTGCTGTCAGCTCAGAGCCCGATGCAGGGCTCGATCTCACAAACCGTGAGATCCTGACCTGAGTGGAAATGGAGTCAGACAGTTAACCAACTGAGCCACCCAGGCAACCCTGAGATAACTTGGATTTTTAATTCAGTCTTTCAGTGGTAAATTTTGTAAGATATAAAGAGAAGTATATCTGACCAAATTTAGTGTCCAATGAATTTTGAAGACTGAATTTGAAGGAAAGAATGTCAAATACCTCAAATTCTAAATATTGGTTACATGCTGAAATGATATTTAGGATATATCTGGTAAACGGACACCTGGGTAGCTCAGTTGGTTAAGCATCAGACTACAGCTCAGGTCACGATCTCATGGTTTGTGAGTTTGAGCCCTGTATTAGGCTCTCTGCTGTCAGCACACAGCCTGCTTTGGATCCTCCGTCCCCCTTCCCCTCTGCTCTGTCCCTCCCCTGCTTGCACGGTCTCTCAAAATAAATACAACTTTAGGGGCACCTGGGTGGCGCAGTCGGTTAAGCGTCTGACTTCAGCCAGGTCACAATCTCGCGGTCCGTGAGTTCGAGCCCCGCGTCGGGCTCTGGGCTGATGGCTCGGAGCCTGGAGCCTGTTTCCGATTCTGTGTCTCCCTCTCTCTCTGCCCCTCGCCCGTTCATGCTCTGTCTCTCTCTGTCCCAAAAATAAATAAACGTTGAAAAAAAAATTTTTTTTAAATAAATACAACTTTAAAAAAAAAAGAATATATCTGGTAAAATAACATATATTCTTAGAAATAATGACACTTTTGGGGTGCCTGGGTGGCTCAGTTGGTTAAGCAACCGACTTTGGCTCAGGTCACAATCTCACAGTTTGTGGGTTCGAGCCCCACATCGGGCTCTGCGCTGACAGCTCAGAGCCTGGGGCCTGCTTCTGATTCTGTGTCTCCCTCTCTCTCTCTCTCTGCTCCTCCCCAATTTGTGCTCTGTCGCTCTCTCTCTCAAAAATAAACAAACATTAAAAAAAAAAAAAGACACTTCTTTCACTTTGTTTATCGTGGGCACTGAAAACATTTTAATTATATATGATCTACACATTACACTTGCATTAGCCCTGGTCTAGACTGTTGTTAGGCATATGAAGAAAAGAAAAAAATGAAATATTTTATTTGGTTGACACACTTAAACTTTTTTCTTAATGGATGCTGCAGAACCTTGAAGCTCTGGGCTTCCTTTTAAGCTCTCATCTCTCAGAACTTATTCCTTTATTCTTTCTATGAATAAGAAATCACATCCCAGTACCCGGCAATGAGCACAAATGAGCACCGTACACAGAAAGTATACTAGACCTTAAAGATCCAACACTCCCTTGGGAAAAGACTAATAATTGATATATCACCTCATAAGTGATATGGGAAATCAATCAAGCATGCAAGAAAAAAGGGTTATAACACACACACATACACTACATTGTTGGTTTCTGGGTAAGGTAAAGACAGAAAAGAGAACCATTGGTTGGTCTACCTTTGATACAAAAAGGTAAGAAGAAGAATGCCAAGGTTCTGACCAAAAACCCCTCAGAATACATTTCAAATACTGTGTACTCTCAACAGTGTCTTGGTGGGAAACACTCAAGTCCATCAGGTCTGTTCCCTCCTTCTTGCCTTGGCAGAGGAGCAATTCCAAATCACACTGTGCCTAACGTGTCTGTTTTATGAATCTTTTCAGAGAACCCATGTTTTGTATTATTTATCAAATGTATTTGTACAACAGCAGCTAAGGTCAGTCTCATCTAGTTTTTGATGTGAAAATGAAGGTATTAGTCAGGAAAAAAAAATGACAGGTGAACTTTGAAATGGGGACACCTACTTGGACCCAGATCAAACGCATGACTAGGAAGCCACAAGACACTGAACCTCTCTTGTCAAGAAGGTAGCTTGTCCCTTAGTTTCTGAGGAGACTAGCCTTCTTCTACTTGACAAAGCTCTGATAATCTCACTTGGTGCAGATACTCGGCAAGGAAATGCTTGTTCTTAAGATCCACCACAACCACTTGCTATGTCTCTAGATTCACAATTAATACAAACTCCCGTGGGACAGGTATAAGCTATAAGGTAAAGACAACAGCTGCAAAAATAACTCCAACTCCACTAACATGTATCATAAAAATCTTGAGGAACATGTGTGAAAATGGATTTTAGGGTGTTAGACCAAGGAGGATAGAGTATCATGTAAGACAGAGCTGTTTCAAAGACATGGGTGTACATACTAGAAAATTTGGATTCGACATATTAGCTCATGAATTTGGGGATGGCTCTAACAGCTTATTTTGGTAGGATGGTTGAAATTTGGACTCCATGCTGACCTATGGTTAATGATGACGATAAGGCAAAGTTTCCCTGGCGTAACATGAAGGAGCCAATCCTAGAGAGAGCAATGTTGCCTGTATATATCATGTGTGGCCTGCACAGACCTCCTTCGTCAATCTATGCTGAAGGCCCAGAAGCCACCCTTTCCTCAAAGGTATTGGGAAACAAGATTAGTAATGCTGATTCTAAATATAGTATCATTACTGGAACAAACGAGCACCAACTCTCGATCTGGAATGCAGCTACTGATGTAGGTAACGCCCTTTTCTCCATACAAATTTCATAAAATAACTGGAAGCATCTGGTTTTTACCTGGCAAGACCGAGAGTGTACCTCCACAGCACTGGCCCAGGGCTGTGTCCATTCTCCTGTACCCTGCCAAAACACAGTCCTCAAAGGTCTTGACTTTCCACAACACAACACATGGTCCACCATGTGGACATTATGGGGATTGGACCCAATGAAAGTAGCAGATACTTTACACCTCTTTATAAAACATGCACAAAGGAGTGGTATACCAACTCAACCAAGTTCAGGGGCAGGTATGTCAAGACAGCCCCATGAGGAATTGGTCCAAGTTACTGTACGTAATGCCTTCTGCTCCCCCCACCAAAAGGCATACTATTTGACAGAGAACTTATTTTTATTTATTTTGAGAGACAGAGAAAGCATGAGTTGGGGAGGGGCAGAGAGAGGGAGAGAGAGAGAGAATCTCAAGCAGGCTCCACACTGTCAGTGTGGAGCCCAAGGTGGGGCTCGAATGCACAAACTGAGATCATAATCTGAGCCGAAATCAGACGCTTAACCGACTGAGCCACCCAGGTGCCCCTGACACAACTTCTTGATTAGAGGTAACATATACCACATTTGAATGTACTTTAATACATCTACAGAGTCACCTATAAGGCCTCCAGATTTAAGTGTGACCAGAGTAAGAGCATTCTGCAGCAAGTTCTGGCAGCAGTACAAACTTCTCAAGCACTTAATCCCTGTGAGCCATCATTTCCCAAGGCACTTGAATTGTCCACAGTAAACAGGAAGTTGTTGGTAGTCTCTAGCAACCACGAGAAGGAGATTCGTGGCATAGTCTTGTAGGTTGGAGCAAATCTATGACCTCTTCTACATATACCTACTCTTTTCAGGAACAACTTATGGCTTACCACTAATAAATACATGGTAGAGACTAAATAAGTAACCATGAGACATCAAGTGACCAAGTGGATTTAGTGTCCCATCACGAACTGGGCATTGTCTGGCGTGCCTATCTTATGAGATTGGGCACAGGCAGTAGCATTCTATCATCAAATGGAAATGACACATAATGAGAGATCTTAGTATGCCAAAGCATTCGGATTACTGCTTTGTACCTACTGCCCTTAAAAGTTGATGCACCCAAATTCTCAAGGAGAAAGCAGGCAAAAACCTCTTTGATCTTGGCCACAGCAACTTCTTAGTCAACACGTCTCTGGAGGCAAGGGCAACAAAAGCAAAAATGAACTACTGGGACCTCATCAAAATCAAAAGCTTCTGCACAGTGAAGGAAACAGTCAGCAAAACTAAAAGGCAACCGACAGAATGGGAGAAGATATTTGCAAATGACATATCAGATAAAGGGTCAGTATCCAAAATCCATAAAGAACTTATCAAACTCAACACCCAAAAAGCAAATAATCCAGTGAAGAAATGGGCGAAAGACATGAAGAGACACTTCTCCAAAGATGACATCCAGATGGCCAACCGACATTGGTTGAAAAAATGCTCAACATCAATCATCATCAGGGAAATACAGATCAAAACCACAATGAGATACCACCTCACACCTGTCAGAATGGCTAAAATGAACAACTCAGGCAACAACAGATTTTGGCGAGGATGCGGAGAGAGAGGAGCTCTTTGGCACTGATGGTGGGAATGCAAACTGGTGCAGCCACTCTGGAAAACAGTCTGGAGGTTCCTCAAAAAACTAAAAATAGAACTACCCTATGACCCACCAATTGCACTACTAGGCATTTACCCAAGGGATACAGGTGTGCTGTTTCGAAGGGGCACATGCACCCCCATGTTTATAGCAGCACTATCAACAATAGCCAAAGTATGGAAAGAGCCCAAATGTCCATCGATGGATGAATGGATAAAGAAGATGTGGTATATATACACAATGGAGTATTACTCGGCAATCAAAAAGAATGAAATCTTGCCATTTGCAACTATGTGGACGGAACTGGAGGGGATTATGCTAAGTGAAATTAGTCAGAGAAAGACAAATATCATATGACCTCACTCATATGAGGACTTTAAGACACAGAACAGATGAACCTAAGGGAAGGGAAACAAAAATAATATAAAAACAGGGACGGGAACAAAACATAAGAGACTCTTAAATATGGAGAACAGAAGGTTCCTGGAGGGGTTGTGGGAGGGGGCATGGGCTAAATGGGTAAGGGGCATTAAGGAATCTACTTGTGAAATCATTAATGCACCATATGCTAACTACTTGGATGTAAATTGAAAAAAAAAAAAAAAGAAAACCAAACATTCCAAACACGAAAGATAAGAAAAAAGAAGAAAGTTCCCTGGTTCCTATAAGATTAAAGTCAGATGGCCCTGCGTATACTAGAGTCTTACAGTAAGGTCTGCAGCTTTCTGAAATGTCCTTTGTCTAATAATTTGCAACCTTTTATGTAAAAGATTTATACAACCCTACACTAAATGTTCCTTTACTGGAGCTACCATGCTTTGGTGAAGACTGTGTATCCCAGGCATCGGGAATAAAACTCTCTTCCTTTTTTAAAAAAAAATTTTTATTTAGAAATTCTAGAAGCTTTGTTCATTTTTGCATCAACAAGTAATTAAAAAAACTCCCAAAAATCAGAAGAGCAGGATCAACTGGCTCCCTGGTGAATTCTAACAAACATTTCGAGAAGGATCAATAACAATCTTTAAATTTTTTTTCTAATGTTTATTTATTTTTGAGACAGAGAGAGACAGAGCATGAGCGGGGGAGGGGCAGAGAGAGAGGGAGACACAGAATCTGAAGCGGGCTCCAGGCTCTGAGCTGTCAGCACACAGCGCGACGTGGGGCTCAAACTCGTCAACTGCAAGATCATGACCTGAACCGAAGTCAGATGCTCAACCGACTGAACCACTCAGGTGCCCCGTGAACCCTTTAAACTAGATCTCCCTGCTCCTCCCTCCCTCTCTCTCAAAATAAACATTAAAAAGAGTATTTCTTTAATAATAAATAAATAAAGATAAAACTTATGCATCCTAAAATTCTATCCTGACTCCATACCCTCACTCTTATCCATGCCCAAAGTGGGAGTTAGTGAATTCTATGTTGTAAATGGATTCAAATCATTCCCCTGCTTAGGCACTTCAGAAGTGTCGATGGCCTTAGAATACTGGCTAGACTGCCTTACTCTTTCCCCTGGTCCTGCCCTTGTCCTCTACTCCATCTCTCACCACTCGCTGTCTGTTCACCTTCTCCCAACACTCTTCCATCAGTTCAAGAAATACACTAAGCTCTATTTTGCTCATGAAGTTCCCTTCACCTGACATCCTTCTTACCCACCCTACAAATCCTCACCCCCATTCAAAATCTGCCTAGGTAAATCCTGCTCTGCTTCCCTTCAGAAGTTAAGTATCAGTCCCTCCCAGGACGCCTCGGTGGCTCAGTCGGTTAAGCGTCCAACTTTGGCTCAGGTCATGATACCAAGGTTCATGAGTTTGGGGCTCACTGCTGTCGGTGCAGACACTGCTTCAGATCCTGTCCTCTTCTCTCTCTGCCCCTGCCCCCACTCGTGGTGTCTTTCTCAAAAATAAACATTAAAAAATATATAAATATATCCACACACACATATATAATCTGTATCAATCCCTCCCAATAGGTATTACCACCTCATATTGTGCCATTCTTACGTTCCTGTCACAAACTTGCCAGTATTCACTTGAAGTCTGTACTCTCAGATAGACTAGAAGCCGTATGGTGGCAGTACTATGTTTTGATGGCCATTACTTCCCTGTCCCAAGAACACAGTCTAGTTTATTAAAGGAACTCAATGACCCCTTGTGGGATGTGAGACAATTTCTATAACTACCAAAAATGTTACAGTACAGTACAAAGAAAAGGAAGACAAAAATAGAGTTACACCATAAAAACCACTTAAGTCTCACATAAAATGTTTGCACACACATAAAGCAAAACATTGTACTTCCGCAAAGGCATTTGAGTACTCACATAAAAACGGACACAATATTCTTTTTTTTCTTTTTCTTTAATTTTTTTTTTCAACGTTTATTTATTTTTGGGACAGAGAGAGACAGAGCATGAACGGGGGAGGGGCAGAGAGAGAGGAAGACACAGAATCGGAAGCAGGCTCCAGGCTCTGGGCTCCAGGCTCTGAGCCATCAGCCCAGAGCCTGACGCGGGGCTCGAACTCACGGACCGCGAGATCGTGACCTGGCTGAAGTCGGCGCTTAACCGACTGCGCCACCCAGGCGCCCCCACAATATTCTTTTTGAAACAAGTGCCCAGACAATATAAATTTCTTCCTTATGTTTCTCCTTAATTTTTAGAAGTTTTAAAAAGGTGATTCACAAACTGACACATGCCACAATAATTTTCTAACAGAATTTATAGTATCCATCTAAAAGTATGTACATTTGTCCTTTTTTCTTTTTTTAAGTAGTCTCTGGGCCCAGCATGCAGCCCAACATGGGGCTTAAATTCATGATCCTGAAATCAAGACCTGAGTTGATAACAGGAGGTGGCTGCTGAACCAACTGAACCATCTAGGGGGCCCTGTATACTTGCCCTTTGACCAAGAAAACCAACCTGAACAGCTTACCCTTACCTTGAAACACACCCCCACAAATGTGAAACATTATACACAAAAATTTACTCACACATGTATTAACAGAACTAAAGCAATTGTTAGTATCTAGATGACTCATCCTTTGAGCATCTGACTCTTGATTTTGGCTCAGGTTAGGATCTCTGGGTCATGGGATGGAGCCCTGTGTCAGGCTCTGTGATGAGTATGGAGCCTACTTAAGATTCTTTCTCGGGGCGCCTGGGTGGCTCAGTCGGTTAAGCGGCCGACTTCAGCCAGGTCACGATCTCTCAGTCCGTGAGTTCGAGCCCTGCGTCCGGCTCTGGGCTGATGGCTCAGAGCCTGGAGCCTGTTTCTGATTCTGTGTCTCCCTCTCTCTCTGCCCCTCCCCCGTTCATGCTCTATCTCTCTCTGTCTCAAAAATGAATAAACGTTAAAAAAAAATTAAAAAAAAAAAAAAAAGATTCTCTCCCTCTCTGCCTGGGTGGCTCAGACAGTTGGTCATCCGTCTTCAGCTCAGGTCATGATCTCACAGTCTGCGGTCTAATATTTCAAGCCCCGCGTTGGGCTCTTGTGCTGACAGCTCAGAGCCTGGAGCCTACCTCAGATTCTGTCTCCCTCTCTCTCTGCCCCTCCCCCCTCACACTCTGTCTCTCTCACTCAAAAATAAATAGACATTTAAAAACAATTTTTTTTTTAAAAAGATTCTCTCGCTCTTCCTCTGCCCCCGCTCCCAAGTGGGCATGCTTGCGCATTCTCTCAAAAAAAAAAAAAAGTCACCCCATATGTGACTTTTGTTATTCCAAAGGAAACGTCTATCTTGAAAACAGAGAGCTCTGGTGATCACTAACTTAAGCAGGCAATCAAACTGGGCATCTGAGGAATGGTATAAATTCAAGTCTTCCTGATGGAATGCAATTTGATGTACACAACGTCACCTATAGGATATTTGGAAACGATGTTTGAAGCCTCTACATCAGGAACTGGCACACGTTGGTCACAAGGCTGATTGCTAAATAGTTTTCTTGGAACATCTATCCCCATTTGTTGACTCAGATCTATTACTGCCTGAAAACTACAAAGGCAGAGCTGAGTAATTCTGATACCTTATGGCCTGCAGACCATCAAGTAATTACTTTCTGGACCTTTCCAGACAAAAAGTTTGCCACCCTCTGTTCTGGACCCAATTACCAGTTGACAGAAAATACAAGAAATGGAGGAAACATCTAAAAATATTGTGAAAAATAAAATCAGAATTTTCAAAATGTGTGACTTTCTAAAAGAACACATAAGACTCATAAAAAGCCAATGTAATGCACAAACAAAAAGGAATACAGTAGGTTAAAAAAGATTAAAAGGGGGGCCTGGGTGGCTCAGTCGGTTAAGCCTCTCCAACTTTGGCTCAGGTCATGATCTCACGGTTTGTGAGTTCACGCCCCACACTGGGCTTTCTACAATCGGCACGGAGCCCACTTAGGATCCTCTGTCCCTCACTCTCTCTGCCCCTACCCTACTTGTTCTCTCTCAAAATAAACACACTTAAAAAAAAAAAAAAGACTAAAAGACTGAAATAATCATCATATATAAACTGACTGGCTCTTAGATCCAGGGGAAGTTCAGCTTTTACACGGAGCAGATTTAAGAGGCATTTTCATTTTCAATCTTCCTGGGTCAAAGAAAGAACTGTGGTTTTAGCAGGATAACGTCTTTTACAAGATACATTACCAAGTATTTAAAAGTCAAGTATCATGTATGCATTTCATTTTCAACTTACACTCAAACAGTTCCCATAAAATGTATTGTTATGCAGAGAGCAAACATGCAAAATGGTCAAAATGGGTGAAACTACTATAACCAACATTCACTGTGCTGGATGATCAAATTGTGTTGAAAGCTTCAGATTTTACAGCACAAAAACTGAGGGCAAAGACCACACTTAGTCCACACATCTTGTTAAGGGTAAACTCGGTCATTCTGGAACCAGCGCTTTAAAGCCCATAAGGTCTTCTTCTCCTGGAGGCCCTTCTTCTGATAGTTTGTGGGAGAGGCAGGGCCCCAGGACGATCAGAGGACAAGACAGCTGAGCATTCCTACTTTCACCTGGAAGGATGACTTGTGGCTTACACATGTTCGTATTTATCTACAGAAATATGCACACCCTCGAACCTAACAAGTCCCTTTTCTTTCTACCTGTAGGGGACGCTCAACAAGAACCGGCAAACACATTCCAAATGCTCGCAAGAAACGTCTTTCCGCATTCTAGAGGAAGGGCCCTTTGAACCAACGTTTCCCCAGGGCTCACCGGGACAGCCAGGAGCGACAGGGCGGTGACCACCGCAGGGCCGGGCCAACCTGACTTGCCCAGCGGAAATTCTCACCCTCCTGGAGAAGAGTCACAACGGTTACTTAGGAGGAGTTTGAACAAGGAGGCACCGTGGCCGAAAACACTTCGCAGGTGCGCCCTCACCGCTCCTCTCGGCCGGCCCAACGCGGGCGCCAGCGGCCGCGAAGGGGGCGAGCGGAGGGGACCCGGCCTCTTTAAGGAGGCCCCTCGGAGGCCGGGCCACACCTGTCCTTTAACGCCCTCCTTGCATCCGAACCTTCCTGGCACGCGGCCTCACCGACGACACCAAGCACCGCAAGACGACCAAGACGAGAGGCTCGGAAAGGCGCTAGACCACGGGACAAAGACCGCCGCGGGCCAGTGACGCCACTTCCGCTTCCTGCCTCTCGCCGCCAGGGACGGGGCTCCAGGGCTTGGGCTGCGGCCACGCCCGACACTTTGAAGGCCGGAAGCGGTAGTGTCGTCACCCGGGGGTGCTGAGGGCCCAGGAGTTGGCCCAGCGCGAAGGCAGAGGGCGGGTTCTGGCCCGAGGGAGTCGAATGGGGCTGGAGCCAGGCCCGTTCTGTGTTTAGAAGCCGGAAAGGCAAGGCTGGGGGTGGGGGCGGAGGAGTCGTCCCAGAGGACGCTTTTTTAACAAGTGATTTCTGGGTTTCCCGCCTTGCCTTAAAAATTCTCTTCAAGGGGCGCCTGGGTGGCGCAGTCGGTTAAGCCTTCAGCCAGGTCACGATCTCGCGGTCCGGGAGTTCGAGCCCCGCGTCAGGCTCTGGGCTGATGGCTCGGAGCCTGGAGCCTGTTTCCGATTCTGTGTCTCCCTCTCTCTCTGCCCCTCCCCCGTTCATGCTCTGTCTCTTTCTGTCCCAAAAATAAATAAAAACGTTGAAAAAAAAATTCTCTTCAAACTCTAGATTACTTACAGATTTTATAATTTTCTTCAAAATGTTTTACGTTCGGTGATATTTTATGAATGTATTTTCGTAGGATAGTAGTGTGGGATAGTGGATCCATTTCTCCCTTCTCTTGAGAAATACAGCCAACTGTAGTATGATCTATTGATAAACTATCCTTGACCTACTGATTCGAAATTCCCCTCTTGTTATGTAGTAAATTCCTCTGTATACAGCTGTATTTTTATTTCGATTTTTTTTATTTTTCAAATCATGCCATAATACGAGCCAGGGTTTCCATACTAAGTTGTGGGACAGCACCAATACCAGGCATGTTTAGTTATTCAGCAACAGTTCTAAAGTTTCTACCATTGTCCTGCGTGATGTGGATTTCAGTGGGTAGTCGTTATGAAGTTAATAAAGGTCCTTTTAAATCCTGATTTATTAGTACATTTGCCAAGAATTGCTTATGTGCGTTATCAAGTGTGTTTTACGCATCTCTTCAATGCATAACTGTTTTGCTTTCTTCAATTTTTTTCTATAAAATACTTCCATTTCTGTGTAGCCAAAGGAGTCTTTTTGAAGAAATAATCTCTGGCTTTTTTGCCTTGCCTTAAAAAATTCTCTTCAAACCCTAGACGACATGCAGATTTTCCATTGTCTTCTGAGGTGTATTAGTTTTAATGACATTTTAATGTTTATGCCTCCAAGAATCTATCTTAGTATGTGGTATGGGATAGTGGGTCCCAAAGATAGCTTACTGTAGTATGATCTATTGCTAAACTATCCGTGACATACAATTTGAAATTTCACTTTTATTAAACAGTGAATTGCTCTGTTTACACCTGTTTTGGTTTCTAGACTTCTGTGACAGCAATATATACTTAGAGTCATATCATACTCTTTTTGAACAATGATTTTATACTATGCTTTAGCACTGAATGGTAAAAATATAATGGCAGCTAATGGTTATTACATCTTCCTTCTCAAGGTTCTTCAGGGACATGAAATTTTTGATGCTTTTACTGACGTAGCTATTATCTCGAGTTTATCTTTTGTGTTTTGCAACAGCTGTATTGAGATATGATTCACATGTCAACAATTTACTCTTTTTCATCTTTTTTTAGACAATATTTATTTACTTATTTATTTATTTAAAGGGGGCAAGTGAGTGAGGAGCAGAGAGAGAGAGAGAGAGAATCCCACAAGGGACAGGGAGAGGGAGCCAGAGAAACAGGGCTCACCCAAAATGGGGCTTGTGTTCACCTGAAGCAGGGCTTGTGCTCACCAATTTACTCTTTTAAAACTACTCAATTCCATGTTTTTTAATATGTTCACACTGTGGTGCAATCATTACATTTTAGAACCTTTGCATTGCTCTGCAAGTACCTTGGCTGTCCAAACCTTATTTTCTTCCTGCCTCAACATCTAAGCATCCACAAATCTTTCTCTCTCTATCAATTTGTGTTTCATAGTCATTTTACAGAAATGAAACCATACATCTTTTGTCAATAATTTCTTTGTATGTTTTTCTTTTTTTAACATTTAAAAAAAGTATTTATTTTGAGAGAGAGAGAGAGAGAGAGAGAGAGGAAATGTGAGTGGGGGAGGGGCAGAGAGAGGGAGAGACAGAACCCTCTGGGTCCATGCTGTCGGTAATGCAAAGCCCAATGTGAGGCTCAAATCCACGGCAGTGAGATCACAACCTGACCTGAAATCAATCAAGAGTCAGAGTTTAACCGACTGAGCCACCCAGGTACCCCTCTTAGCATGTTTTTCAAGGTTGATATGTTTTGTAGCATATATCATTTCTTTTTATTGGCAAATGATATTCTATTGTATGGGTATATTACATTTTATTCATCAGTTAGTGAACATTTGGGTTGTTCACCCTTTGTGGGTATCAGGAGGAATGCTGCTATGAAAATTCATGTATGTTTTTCTGTGCAGATGTCTTTTTATTTCTCTTGGGTATTAATGCTTGCTGGGAAACAATACAAATATATATATTTACATATATATTTATTTACATATATATTTACAAATATATATTTACAAATATATATTTACATATATATTTACATATATATATTACACACATTATCAGGATTTAGAACATCAACATCACCTCCCCCTCCAAAAAACCTATTGTGTTATCCTTTGTAATTACACCCTCACTTATCTCTAACAAGTAGTGGTCTGTTCTCCATCACTATACTTTCATCTTATTATGTCATATAAATGGAATCCTACAGTATGTAGCCATTTTGTTACTGACATCTTTCACTCAGCATCATGTCTCTGATTGAGGTCTATCAAATGTTTCATCATGAATAGTTTTTTTAGTTTTCATTGATGACTCCTGTTCCATTGTACGGACATGCCAACTTGTTTAATCCATGTATCCACTTAAGGACATTTGAGTTATTCCTTATGGGCAATTTTGAATACAGCCACTATAAATATTCTTGTAAAAGTGTTTCTGTGCACACAAATTCTTTTATTCCCTCAAGAAAACAGCTAGGGGTGGGAGAAGTACTTCATATGGTAAGTGTATATGTAACTAATGAGGAAACTACCAATCACCACTAGAGTAGTTGTGCAACTTTCCATTCCCACCATCATTGTGTGAGAGTTCCAGTTGCTCTGCATTCTCACCAACACTTAGTATTGTTTTTCACTTTAGCTGTTCTAATAGGTGTTTAGTGTTATCTCATCAGCGTTTTATTAGGTCTTCTGTAATTTTTTCACCACATTTTTCTAGTTTTCTACATGCAAATCTTTTACCTCTATCGTTAAATATATCCTTAGGTGTTTTATTCTTCTTGATGCTGTTGTAACTATAGTTATAAACATTTCATTTTCAGATTGTTTGTTGTGTATAGAAACACAGGTGATTTTTCTGTGTTGATATTGTACACTGCAACTTGGCTCAATTGTTTAATTTACTGTTGTAGCTTATTGTAGATAAACCATACATCGTGCTTTTTTTTTTTTATTGTACACATTGTGTACATGTGCCCTCTTTTATCAAAATAGTTCCCTAGCGACTGGTAGGTTGTTCCCAATGTTTTCAGATAACAAACAATCATGCAATAAACAACCTTGTGCATAGAACATTTTGCATGAATATGAGTGTAATTAAGTGGTGAATTCTCATCACTGGAATGGCTGAATCAACTATAAAATCAGAAACAGCATACACAAGGGCACTGAGGTATAAAACAATGAGGCATGTTATTATAGTTGCTAATAGTTTAGTATTATATCATTAACATTGACAAATTTATTAGTATTTCCTAAGCAAAATGCTATGTGGCTACCCTTCTTTCATCTTGTGATGTGTTTTTTGAAAACTGGTCCTCATCAAAAAGTCTCTGTGCAGGTAGGCTTTTGGGGAGAATTTGATCCTAGGGAGCAGGAATACAGAACAATGGGAGTAAATCAGGGAAGGAAGGAAAGGCAATGAAAGGAATCATTATCATTTTGATCCCTCTATGGATGACTGGTGCCCCATCTCACCAAACCCTTCTGATATAAATTATGAAGTGTGTCTCAGAACTTGCCACTTGGTAGATAAAAAGACAGGAGTTCTATTGGCCAAGGGTGGTCCTGGATAGATTTAATGCCCCCTGTGATTCTGGGTTGCACATCAATGAATACAGAGTAGATTCCCTCAGGTGTCCCATATTGTGGTGTCACAGAAGATTCAGGGCAGGAAGCAGGAGGTATGGGATTTGGGCCTGAGGCAAAGTGCTGACCAGCTGCAGCTGTGCAAAACTTTCCATGGCTTCCATTGACCTAATTACAGCAGACACGGCCGAAGCCTAACATGTGACAAGAAAGTATGGATTGGTGCCTGTATGTGTTTGCTGGAGCTGCCATAATACAATTACTATAGTGAGTGAACATAATCAACAGAATTAATTTCCTTGTCATTGTGGATGCTGAGAGTCCACGATCAGGGTACCAGTAGGGTTGGTACCTCCAGGAACCCTGTCACTTGCTTGCAGATGCCTGTCCTGCTGCTGCCTCTTCAGATAATTTCTCTGTGCATGCATGCCCCTGGTGTGTTTCTGTGTGTCCAAATCTCTTATAAAGACCTACAGTGAGATTGGCTAAAGGCTCACCCTAATGTACCCATTTTAATTTACCTCTTTTAAGGGGTTTCTTCAAATACAGTCACATCGTTAGGTGCTGGGGATCACAATCTCAACATGAATTCTGGGAGAACTCAGTTCAGCCCACAACACTGTCCAAGATGTGTGTTATATGCCCTTCTGTAATTATTCCTTTTTATTAACCATGCGGGAAACTTGCTATCTTGACCAGAGTTCTTGTTTCTTATTATATTCCACTACTTACACTACTTTTTTTTTTTTTAATTTTTTTTTCTCAACGTTTATTTATTTTTGGGACAGAGAGAGACAGAGCATGAATGGGCAAGGGGCAGAGAGAGAGGGAGACACAGAATCGGAAA